TTTTTCTTGCCCAGTGTCTCTGGTGTTTAGCTTTTCATAGTTTATAGCTTCAAAAACGCTACTGTGGGTGCATCTATACGAGACACTTCCTGCACAGTAGCCAAAAAATACTGCACAGTAGCACATCACAATACAGACTGTGCTAATATGCTACTGCACAATATTATTAGGCTACTGCGGAGTAACATCCCCTAAAAGGCGTTCACCATCGCTACTGCACAGTAAGTCCAGTTATTGCGCATACATTTAGTAGTTGCTAATACCAATACTAAATAAATGTGCGGTAACGACTGCACAGTAGCATCTCATGTAGGCACGCCCATTGAGTACTATAAAATGCTGCTCTTCATGAGGCTGATAGTGACTGCTGATTTTCTCACTAAGCTGCTGCACTGTACACCATAAAATATCAAGTGAATGTAGTGCAAAATTCAATAAAATGACGGGTGGTAAAAAGAACCACGTTTGTCTCATATATAATGTTACTGAATTCATGAGTCAAGCAAGGATGTATTTAGTTCAGTGTTCCTAACATACATTCAAAAAGGAAATTAAAGCAGGCTGCTTAAACACTTTTTCTGGTGTAAACTGGCTTATTTCCATTTAAGTCACTGAAGCTACAACAATTTACACCCAATTGCAATCACCCTGACATCTGCTGGGAGGGCAATACAGCAGTGCACAGGCAATGACTGAGTTCAGGCTCCAGAGGAAAGGAAGGATAGAGAGCAGCAGAGTAAGGACCCTGGACTTCAGAAAAACAGACTTCAACTCACTCAGGCAACTCATGGGCAGGATCCCCTGGGGAGCCGATCTGAGGGAGAGAAGAGTCCAGGAGAGCTGGCTGTACTTTAAAGAAACCTTACTGAGAGTGCAGGAACAAACCATCCTGATGCACAGGAAGACTAGCAAGTATGGCAGAAGACCAGCTTGGCTTAGCAGGGAACTCTTCACTAAACTGACTCACAAAAAGGAAGGTTATAAGAAGTGGAAATTTGGACAAATAAATAGAGAGGAGTATAAGAGCAGTGCTTGGGCATGCAGGGATGAAGTCAGGAAGGCCAAAGTGCAACCGGAGTGGCAGCTAGCAAGGGACGTGGAGGGTAACAAAAAGGTCTTCTACAAGTAAGTTGGTAGCAAGAGAAGGATCATGGAAAGTGTGGGTTCCTTACTGAATGGAGAAGGCGACCTTGTGATGGAGGATGCAGAAAAGGCTGAAGCACTCAATGCCCTTTTTTTACCTCAGTCTTCACAGGCAAGGTCAGCTCCCAGACTACTGCACCGGGCAGCACAGATTGGAGAGGAGGTGAACAGCCAACAGTGGTGAAAGAACAGGTTAGTGACTATTTAGAAAAGCTGAACATATGCAGTCCATGGGGCCACATGGGATGTACCCGAGGGTGCTGAGGAAGTTGGCTGATGTGATTGCAGAGCCACTGCCCATCATCTTTGAAAACTTGTGGCAATCAGGAGAGGTCCCACATGATTGGAAAAGGGCAAACATAGTGTTCATATTTAAGAAAGGGAAAAAAGGAGGATTCAGGGAACTATAGACCAATCAGCCTTACCTCAGTCCCTGGAAAAATCATGGAGCAGATCCTCTAGGCATCCATCACAAAGCATTTGAAGAAGATGATGATTAGGAACAATCAGCGTGGACTCACTAAGGGCAAGTCATGCCTGACCAACCTGATTGCTCAGAGAGTAGTAATCAATGGCTCGATGTCTAGGTGGCACCCGGTATCAAGTGGAGTGTCCATGGGGTTGGTCCTGGGGCATGTTTTGCTCAATGTCTTTATCAATGACCTGGAAGATGCCATAAAGTGCACCTTCAGCAAGTCTGCAGATGACACCAAGCCGGGGGGAGTAGCAGATACACTGGAGGGTAGGGCTAGGAGTCAGAGTGGCCTAGACAAATTGGAGGATTGGGCCAAAAGGAATCTCATGAGGTTCAACAAGGAGAAGTGTGAAGACCTGTACTTCAGAAGGAACAATCTGTACAGGCTGGGGCTGACTGGCTGGGCAGCAGCTCTGCAGAAAAGAACCTGGGGGTCACAGTGGACAATAAGCTGAATATAAGCCAACAGTGTGCCCTTGTTGCCAAGAAGGCTAGTGGCATACTGAGCTGCATTGGTAGAAGCATTGCCAGAAAGTCAAGGGAAGAGATTCTTCCACTCTGTTTAGCCCTGGTGAGGCCACATCTGCAGTACTGTGTCCATTTTGGGGGCCCCCACTGCAGAAAGGATGTGGACAAATTGGAGAGAGTCCAGCAGAAGGCAACAAAAATGGTTCAGGGGCTGGGGGACATGACTCATGAGGAAAGACTGAGGGAACTGGGCTTATTTAGTCTAGAGAGGAGGAGACTGAATGGGGCTTTAATAGCAGCCTTCAACTACCTGAAAGCGGGGTTCAAAAGAGGATGGATCTGGACTGCTGTCAGTGGGGGTAGATGACAGAGCAAGCAGCAATGGTCTCAAGTTGCAGCAAGAGAAGTTTAGCTTAGATATTAGAAAGACATTTCTTACTAGGAGGGTAGTAAAACTCTGGAACAGGTTACCCGGAATGGTGGTGCAATTTCCATCCTTGGAGGTTTTTAAGACCCAGCTAGGCAAAGCTCCAGCTGGGATGATCTACTGGGGCTGGTCCTGCCTTGAGCAGGGGGTTGGACTAGATGTGACTTCCTGAGGTAAACACTGCAGTGTTTTACTACCCTCTTAGTAAGAAATTTCTACCTAACATCTAACCTAAACTTCCCTTGCTGCAACTTGAGACCATTGCTCATGAGGTCCCTTCCAACCCTAATTTGCTATGATTCTAAGACATGGTCATATATATTTATTAATAATATCCTGGGTCCAGATTCACATCTCAGTTACTCCTGCAATGTCAGAATGGGAACTCTGAGTCTGCACTGGGATAACAAAGATCCGGGTGTGACTCATCATACGGGTCCTCATTTCAAAGGTTGAAGAACAGTATCTGGTACCTTAAGAGAGAGCTGAAAAGCAACACACAAACCCAGCTCCCACGAGCATCTGACTCTGCTGACCTTACTGATAAACATTAGCTTTTTCTTTAGCAAGAGAGCTTCACCAGAAAAACTGCAGGATCTGCCCCAAACTTTGTAACGATAAAACCTCCCTGTCCTTTGGAATACTGTTCTCCCTGGAAATTGCTGCCCTTCTATGCCAAGATTAATTACCATTAAGCAACTTCAATTCCTTTTAATTGAAATCCATATATGTTGAAGATTGCTCTTCC